TCAGTGGAAAACGTGTTCCTTAGAGTAGACCCTCCCACATCATCTCAGTGTGGCCTTTAAGCTCTTCATCATTCTAAAGCTTACAGATAACTAGAGCAATTCTCAATAAACTTTGCCCATAAATATGGGAATATGTTCTGTCTGGTAGGGTCTGAGTGACCCCTCCATGGAAATCCCAGTTTTGCCTGTATTTTAGTTCATCTGAGAACTGATTTTTATGGCATAGAAGTTTGTGGGTCTCTGGATTTAAACTTTAACCAACTGTAACATCTAGTTAATCATTAATGAATTGAGAAAAATCTTTAATACACATATCCATATGAAACTCATGATTCTACCATTCATGAAAAGCATCCTTTCCCATCCACAAAACCAAGGCAATGTCTCCCAATGAAACCATATTTCTTTTGTTTTTTTCCAAAAATTAATGACATAAAGTTTTGGTTTTTGAATCATACTTTTAAGTGTAATTAGAAATGTCCAAATTTCATTAAAAATACAAGTTGTTGATTTTAAGATATACATGTGATTAAATTTTCAAAATAGTTTGATTCACAATTTAACGAAATGACAGTTTAACAAAAATTGCCGCAGAACTTTGTCAATGAAAAACAACACAGCTCTCACCTCAACAGGAATAAGGGATAATTTATCTGGAGCCAAATTTGAGTGACCATAGCCTAGGAACACAGATTTAGGTTACTCTAAATTTTGAGTTCCAATGTGGAAGCAGTTTCTTGAAGTTTTATAGTATCAAAACAAAGAAAGTAATAAATCCAGACACTGCCAAATGCATTGGTGGAAATATCACAGAGGTGGTTACAGCAAAATGAGGAATGCTCTACTAGCTGTGCATGCTATCTGATGACAATCTTACCTGGGGGGTTGGAGGAAGTTAGTGTTCAGCTACGTTAATAGATGCCAAAGGCTTTTTAATCTATGAGTCATGAGATATTACTTCCAACACAGAGGTGAGCAAGGAATGGATATTCAGGGGGCTAAAGCTGGCTGGAGATGAAGTCTCCAACCTGTCCACATCACTGCAGTCCTAATCACTCAATCCATTTTTACAGACAGCTTCTTTTCAAGAATTCTCCCTGATGGGTTTAATAAAAAATAGCTGCCATACATTTTGATAACATTTATTAATCACATGAGAAACAATGACACTCTCAGCATATTAATTAGAACAAGAAAAACAATCTTTTGTCCCTTAAGACACCACCAAGAGAATTCCCAATACAAAAACAAATCTGAGATCTATTAAACTATACCATCTCTGAAGTGCTTATCTAAATTGTGTTATTATTAACAAAAACCCAGGAGTCAGACATTAGGATAAAAACCTGATATATCAAGAAAGCAGGGGAGGAACGATCAGCTGACGACCCTCCACCTTCCCAGATGGAAAAGACCCGTGAATCTTTCTAAGCCCCTCCCTACTCTTTCCTGTGCCTCTCTATCATATCCCTGGCTTCTCTGTGGCTAATTCACGTTGGCTGGTCACTAACTGCACTCCCTGATTCAAGGTTAACGTTATTAACAGTCTTGGAGTGTCAATGCAATCAAATATCCCACAACACATCTCTTGAAATGGCCATCCCTGTGGTGGTATTTTATTTGTACTGTAATGTAATTTTAATTGCATGTTAATAAATAAAGTTTCCCGGGAGTCAGAGCTATTAGAGCCATAGCAAGAGTGTGGCGGTGGTGGCACACGCCTTTAATCCCAGCACTTGGTAGAAGAGCTAGGTAGATCTCTGTGTGTTCAGGGATATAGCCAGCATTGGAGACATACGCCTTTAAGACCTGGAGGGCTGTACTTACAGGCAGTGACAAGGCAGTCACGTGTTTGGGTTTACAACCAATGAGAAGGCAGAACAGAAAGACCTATTTAAAGACAAACACACAGGAAGTAGCTCTCTTTCGGAGAGGTAGGAGCACCACAGGAGGTAAGATTTTAGCTCTGAGCTCTGACCTCTCAGCTTTCTCTTTTACATTGGTTCTGTGTTTCTTATTTAATAAGACGGTTGGTTACATCTACACATCCCCTCTTATAATAGGATTGAATCTAACAGGGCCAGTTACTGGCTTTTTGTTTTGTTTTTTCCAGGGACCAGTTTGCTAAGACTCCTGCCCCATATTACCCCACCATCCTAAGCTGACTCATGTCTGGCTTCAATCAGACTCTCAGGAAATACGTCTAGTCTGGTGACCAATCAAGCTTCTACCAGGCCACAAGTAGGAACTGTTCTTGTCGTTTTCAGTCAGACAGACCCTTGACACAGCAGACAGACCCCTGACACAGCAGACAGACAGACCCCTGACACAGCAGACAGACGGACCCTGACACAACAGACAGACAGACCCCTGACACAGCAGACAGACAGACCCTGACACAGCAGACAGACGGACCCTGACACAGCAGACAGACTCCTGACACAGCAGACAGACAGACCCTGA